CTGGCCTTGCTGGTTGTGGTCTGGCATTGGCGGCTCATGTTCATCTGGGAGTCAATAATGACTCCAAGATCCCTTTCCACCTCTGTGCTTTCAAGGAGGGAACTCCCCAGCCTGTATGTATGCTGTGGATTCCTTCTCCCAAGGTGCAGCACCCTGCGTTTGTCTACAGTGACCCCAAGGTGCAGCACCCTGCATTTGTCTACGGTGACACCAAGGTGCAGCACCCTGCATTTGTCTACGTTGAACATGCATTGCCTACAACAAACATCAGTACTATAAAACAGTTTTCTCCAATATAAAGTAGATTGTCTCATAATTGAGGCTGATTCTGACAGATTGAGGCCAACATTTAGTAAAATCCACTTTATAATTTTGCAGTGTAATATTGTTTTTCTTTTAGTAATTTTCAGAATAAATGTTAATCCGTGTTATGATGTATCATCTAAATGAAAGCCTTTAAACAAGAGGCAATATAAGAATTTAAAGAAGTCCTTTAAAAGAATAAGTAACGAAAGAAAAATTCTTATAGAGTATTATCATTCACCATTATATACTTTTGTTAAGATATCTTAATGTGAATGGTATATATAAAGTGGTATAGGATCTGAGGCCCTAATCCTATCTCCCTTCTCAAAGTTTAGTATTCTCATTGGGTTTAACACATAATTTAGGAGCATAAGGATTTGCAGAATAACAGCCTTGGTACATGGTAATTTTGGATGGCTCTTGGAGCTCTTAACACTTGGATTGTCTGCACATCAACACCTTAAACTAGTTTTCAGCATTCCTTAGGTGGCTCAAAGCTATGCCACTCAAGGGCAAGATTATCTGTGATCTGTGTTACCCAGCTCATGTTATACTAAGGGCCTCGTTACATGGTAATTTTGGGTAGCTCTTAGAGCTGTTAACCCCTGGATTGTCCATACATTAACACCTTACAATTGCTTTGTTATGCATCTCAAAGTTACGCCACTTCAGGGCAGGATTATCTGTGATCCTCATAACCCATTAAAGTGTGGCTCCTGTTCCATTAAAGTGTAGCTACTCCCCACAGATATGCTGCTCAAATTGAAGTCCTCCAGTACCCCAGTGGCCCCTCCCTCACCAACACTAACCTTGTCGGGGTGGGTGGCCAGTGCTGAACCACATGCCCCTCAACCTTTCCAAGCCCTGGGAAGTGGTGGAGAGCATAGCCAAGCCCATAAAGCCCCCAGACTCAGCCAGGCTCCAGCAAGTCTTAAGCTCTTAGGTGGGAAGGGGGAAGGTTAAGAGCCTGATCACGTCCTTATAGTCACGTAGGCATGCCCCACTCCACAACAGCTGCTTTAGGGTGGGGGATAGCCTGCTGCCAGGAAAGCCACTTTTCCAGGGTGGGAAGACTGTGGGTGGATCTGGGTTGTGGGCACGGGGCTCTTCCGCTGTCTGTGTAGATGCAGGAGCCATGTGTGGGCAAAATCTACTCCCAGCTGCAAAGTGAAGCCAACTTGGGGGGGAACTGGAGCACCTTGGCCAGCCCCACTGCCTCTGCAGTGCTCCCTCCTTCCTCCCTCGTTCTCTCCCTCCACACTGAAGTGGGCACAGCTACCTGCCAGCAAACTACAGACCAGCTCTGAGTCTAGATTGTCAGGACAGCTATCCCCAAGGGGATCTGTGGGCATCTCAGCTGTCCTGCTCATCCGTGGAGTGCTGGGCCCCCCAGTGTAGCCTTGTTGGTGCCAAGCCTCAGTCCCATGGAAATGATCCCAGGGGTCAGCCTCTAATTTGGTTTCATGGGAGTTGCTTTGGTTTTTGCTTTCATCACCTCCCACCCACCCAGCAGTAAGCATAGTCTCAGCCTCCCACTGCTAGCCCAGGTGAGATAGGCACTTGCCCTCCCATCCTTGGCCTCAGAATCAGAAAGAATCATAGAGAAGTAGGGCTGGAAGGGACCTCCCTGCTCACCAGGCCTCTGTTGACAAGTGACTGCTGTGCAGGTGTGGTACAGTCAAAGAAGGTTTCTAGACTAAGGGTGCAACTGCTCCAAACTTCAAGCTAGCACTAGCACCTATCACTGTTTGTGTGCCTCACAGCATAAGGTATAACAAAGACCTGTGGCGTAGCCACTCTAGTCTATACCTTGGTGCAAACACCCACCTACCCCTGCCCCCTGTTGGCCCCAAAAAGGCCCACTACCTCCACCCCATCATCCCTAGCAACCACTTACTTGTGGCTGCCCATGCTATCTAACCTGGGGAGGACGCAGGGAAAGGTTAACCTGCCAGCCCAGCTGCCACTACTGCCACTGCTGGGCTGGGGAGCACCAGAGGAGCCCCAAGGGCTAAGGGAGAAGTCTGGAATAGGAGGAGGGAGGATTCTTACCTTTCAGCCCCCCAGGCCCATGAACATTCAAGCTGTTCTAAACTCAAGCTAGCACTAACACCTATCAACGTTTGTGCGGCTCACAGTGGAACGTTGTAACAAGGCCCTAAGCTAATGTTATTCGTTGTACACTTCATCACAAAGCCTAAACATTAGAAACAATCCTTAATCTGGAAGTGCATTTGACAGGCCATTATTTCAGCAGTAAAACGCGTGTGTATTAGTTATGATTTCAGCTTCTTGCTAGGAAAATTTACAAAATTTCAAGATAGCAAGTAGATCTTTTAGCACAAAAATAATATAATTAGAAGCAGACAGTGTATGTTTAGAAATCAAGAGACGTTAGTACAATCTAGACTAAACTAAACAGTACTTTAGAAAAGAAAATTAGACACAGCCTTCAGTTGCTTGAATGTGGCTCTTTCCTAGACTAAAGGTAATGTAGAACAGGGAAACTGACATACAAAGGCTAGGACCGTAGAGAGTAATGGAGATTAAGTGTCGGTTACAGATCAAAGTTTGACTCTCCAAAGCTTTATAGAAGCTGGTTGTCCATAAAAGTCAAAATCTGCCAGTTCTCATTTATAGCTGAAATAAATATCCAAACATCCAACAGGGTATATTCAGGATTCTGTTAAGACATATAATATAACATATAATCAGCTTTTAAGCATGCTTTATGAAGAGATGCTTTCCTACCTCAGAAACTGAAATTTAAACTGTTCAGAGAAATTTTAATTAACTTTTAAGGAAATGAAAAATAAATAATACTGTGCTGAAAACGTGCAATTTTTGCGTCAAATGTAGGATAGCAAGCATGGAGGTTTCAATACTCAATAACTTAATTTTAGTACATACAAAATGAAAAATCATATTTTATTATCTATTCTGTGAAGTCTGTCTTAGAGCCTGGTTACGTGAATAAAATGTGTTTAAATATAGTTTTGCACATAACTATGCTGCTCTCTTTTAATTTGAAGAGGATGACTTTTTAAAAAATCTAACCTTACACTTGTACCATAAAAGATCATTTAAGTATGCTCCAAATAAACACAACTTAAAGATAAATAGAGAAATAGTTGAGCATGACAAAGAAATGAAAAAGTTATAAAACTCTGTTTTTAATGGAGTATGTAAAATTTGCATGGACTGTGTAAGTCTGGAATTCCTCTGTGGTCTTTTGGTAACATTAATGACAGCCCACTCTGCTGGGCTTGAGACAGTCTCTCCTGTATGGTCTCTGCTCTCATAATTTCTTGAAGGAATAGTAACTTAATAGTTGCTTCATTTTGTTATATTCTGTTGTGTTTTGATTATTGTCTATTATGTATAATACATATGTACATATTTTTGTTTTGAATCTGACTGCTCAGTTTTTACAGGATCTGAAAGGAAAACTACCAGTCCTATTTCCTTATCCCATAAAGTGAAAAGAAAGTAAATCTTGTGCAATTTTTTCTTTGAAGTGCTTTCTTAATATAGGAGTGCCAATTAAGGACACAGACAGTTATATACTGTGACAACTTTCTATGCCCAGTAGTGCTGCCTTTACACTTTACTGCAGAGTTGACTAATTAGCTCCGCAGTAAAACGCCACCATCTACATGTGCACTGGTATTAGGATGCAGTAAATTAACACTGCCATAAGATAGTACTGTCCCTGACAGTACTAGCTTATGTTATGATGGAGTACATAACTACTCTGAAATACACATGTAAATGGTGACTGGGCAGGGGCCAGACTCCTGTCTGCTACCTAGCTACATGGCTCTGCTCCTTCTGCACCCTTATACCCCAGCCAGCTGCTCCGCTACCCAACACCACCACCCGGAGCCTCGGCCTGATCCCCCATGCCTCCTGCCAGCCCAAGCCTGCTCTGCCTTGGCTCAAATTGTTGCGGTGCTGGGCACATGTCTAGACCCTGCACCTGGGAGTAGTTCACTCAAGCTGAAAGTGCTCTGGAGTCGCTTTTCATTAATTGTACATGTAGATGCACCCAAATTGTGCAATTCTACTTCCAGTCTGGAAGGTAGGATGCATAACTTGAGGATGTGCTTGGGGAACCACTGCCTGCTGCATTAAATATGCCATGTAGATATGGCCTCAATGTTTATGGGCCTGATCCAATGAGGTATTGGATGTCATTAGTTCTTGGCAGTTAATGGGACTGTTTGCTTGTCTAAATTTGGGCAAATGCTAGTATATCTTGCCATATCAGGATGCTCAGCAGGTTAGAGGTTTGTCTTCTCTGTAGGCATTCTCTATTAGCATCCATAGAAACTATTCACAGGGACAGTTAGATTGAAATAATATGTAAGATGTACTCTTTCCTATTTTGTGTCTAACTAAGGAAATTTGATTTCATGATTAGGTTATGTTGAAGCCTTGGTGATACCGGCAGGAGCAAGAAGAATCAAAGTTGTGGAAGAAAAACCTGCTCATAGTTACTTAGGTAATTTATTTATTTATTGTTTACATAAAATCATAGAATCATAGAACTGGAAGCATTCTCACAAGTCATGTAGTCCAACCCCTTGCAAACCCAAGTGAGGCTGGAGCTGGAGCTGGAGCTGGACCTGTAACTGAGGGTAGGTCTGATTGTGGTTGGGAGTAGCGGGGGTGGGGGGACAAGCTGCAGTGCAAAACAGGTTTGGGGGCAAAGGTGGTGGGGCACCAACTGCAGCTCCAATCCCAATCCCATGTCAGGCTGCCATACTACCTTGTACTCAAATCCAAGATGAGGAGCTTTCCCCCCCACACTGTTGAATGAGGGGGGAGGCAGCCCCATCTTAGATTTGGAATTTGAGTAAATATGGAAGCTGAGAAGCACAATCACTAAGAGTCACTAGTACAAGGAAGTGAAAAAATCCCCTGCCTGGGCTTCCCAGTAGCAAAATTAACTTGCATACCATTGTCTGTTAAGGATTAGTTGGGCCATCTCCTAGTGCTCTTAAGAATTATTGCATGCCTTATTACAGTTGGGGTGTACCAGAACCCATGGCACTATCTGCACCCTCTTCTCCCAAATAGGCAAATATCTGCCTTCTGATACAATTTTGCATTAAGAGGATTCTGTTTTTAGTATTTTTTAGGCAAGGGAATTATTTTCTGCACCTCACAATTTCTCCTTTGGCATTAATTCCCCTTCTCAGTTTCTTGTTTTGAGTCCCTGTCTCTTCCATTAAATTATTTGACCCTTTCTTTTCCTTCTTGGCTGTCCTAACCACACTAAATCCCACATCCCCTCATTTTCCTCTATGCAGAGCCAGTATCAGCACAAATCAAATTGTGCTTGTTCCATTATTCAGAGGTCACTATTACTTCTTCTTTGATCCCTATCCCTTTGACAAGCCTGAGAAAAGTTTGCAGAAATCACATTTGCTGGCCAGAGAGCACTTATCCAGTTATATCCCCTCTGGAACTTCTTTCTCTATGCCACCACCTTTTTTGTGAGAAGCAGAAGCCATGTTCTCTCACAGTTAAAAAGCTGATAAAACTAGGACACAGGAGTATACTGTCCAGAGACATTCAGGCCCTAAACTTAATAATCAGAGCTTGACATAAAAAATACGCAGCTGGAATTAGACTTGGGAAAGTAAAATTCTCTCATGAGTAATAGCAGAGCTCTCCCCTAAACAGTACTTTAATAAAGCTGGACAAAAAGAAATTAAAATGTTTTTCACTTCCACTACATAATGTCACCAAATAGCACAGAAGACCTCTTCAGACATTATACAAATCTTAAGAAATGAGCTATTTAACATAACTACTCATCACACTAATTTTACATTTTATCTTAATAAAGTAAATTGGCCTCATGGAAAACCAGATCATGTTGTATTTGAATGTTATTTAACCAATATTTTTTAAAGTATTGCAGAGCTGTAACCGGTCCCATATGATATTTTTAGCAAATCTTATATGTTCTTACTGGATTTTACTGGCTGAACTGTTTGTATAATTTTGATGTTGAAGGTTACAGAAGAGCAGTATACATAGCATGAAGCAGTAATTCAGAGCCAGAGACAAAACTTTACATTCAAAAACAGCAGTTTGCAGAAAACTAAATGATAAAAAAATGTATTTATCATGCAAGTTGTTGCCTCTTTTTAATTTTTCTTTGTGCTATTTTTCCATACTTATTTTTCCACCTTAAGTTCTGAAGCTGAAAGCAAACTTTACATTGCACATGCTTAAGACATTTTTTTCAGAAAATAGCAATGAAATTTGATCGTACAAATTCTATAGCCAAATACACAATGTGCCTGCAAACACATGCACGTTCCAAGTAGAAGCTCAGTTAAAACTGGTAGAAAAATTGATCCTTCTTGCACTTGGGTAAATCTAGTAAAAAGATCAGCAGAACTATGTTTGCTTCTTTAGATTATTTGGCAGTAAGAAGCACAAAAATATTGGTGTGGGTCTTACCATTGTATTGGTTAAATTGTGTCTTAAAGCTGCAGTGTACACCAGCACAGACGTATAAAGTGACTGTGTTACAGCAGCAACTATTGGGAGGATTTCTGATTGATTGGGCTAGAATTCTTCCACAGGGCTACAACAACATAAGCAGTAGTTGTAGCAGTTTTGCCATCTGAGGAGAGGAGATGGCGTAATATATGATGCTGTGACTGGCCCTACCTTTCCTTCATTTTGTCTCATTCCTATGGGGAACTAGGACTATGGATAAAACAGGGTACGCTCCTTAGGCATACTTTGACTGGGTCCTGTGTAGACCTGAAAAATCTACAAAACCTCTGATATTGCCAAAGATCTGTATATTATCTAGTCAGCTCTAGAAGATACATTGTATGATTCTCATAGTGACAGTGATCTTTCTTCGGTAAATTACTCTTAAGGTTGTATGAGTGGATGCCACCTATGTTCATTGGCATAAACGGAGAAACCTGAGATATTTTATTAATTGAGGAATATTTCTTACAGCTGAAATCCATTTAATTTTGGATCTCAAACACAGTATTCAAGAAGGAATTTGAGATTTCGGTCTAAAGAGTAGATTAACATAATGTTAAAAAGGTTGATATGAGACTTCATTCATTTTATCTTGCTTTACAATTTCCATTTTATGTACAATTGATTAGAAATTTGTTTCCTGTACTGTTTGGATTGTGCATTCTAATGCTGTGCTTTGCCCATTGCTGAATTATCAAATGTGATAGAAAATAATTGTAAGGTCAATCTGTTTAACAGCCTTACTAATGTAGGGTAAACAGAGTAGTTTATAGTACTTTTATAAGGAATATAGTAAACTTCCCTATTAAAATGCTTGCTCTTCTGACAATATTATATAATTGTATCAGAGTTTGAATTACACCTTGGCTCTTGGGGACGTCTGCCAAAAAAATTGAACTGCCCATCACAATGCCCTAAGAAAATCCCCCAGAATTCTGACCTCCCCCACTCCCCCCCGGTTATGATTTTCAAATCTTACAGGGAGGCTCTTGTTTCTTATGGGGGGGCTCAGCACCCTTGAGTTTCCCCATAATTCAAACCCTAAATAGCATGACATAATCTACCGTCACAATGATTAAGAATGGGTAATAGAATATAACTAAAAAATTTGTTTGTTACAGAAAGGCTATAATAATCTCCTTTCCTAAAATGAAAGACATTAGAGGGAAAATAGCTTATTTTCATTTATAGCCAAGAAATAGATTAATTGCCTTTTTATTCTCAGAATCACGCTGTTTCCAAAGTGCAAACCTTTTGGAAGCCTGAGATTGAGCACTGCATGAATTTGTGTTTGCCGATTCCATGTTGAGGTATTGCATGCATAATTATGCTGCATTCTCATATGGTTTCCATTGTGAAATGTATTTTCTGAGAGAGGAAAAAAAATCTATTATATGGTCCTTTAGTATAGCCTATCAAATATACAAATTTTTAAATCTCATTTCTGACATAACTGACAGTTTTATGCATCTTGGGTGACATCCTTAACTTCTGTAAATTGTCATAATTCAGATGAAGTTAATGGAGTTATAAAAGTTTAGCCTAACTGAAAATCTGATTCTTCATCAACACAGATTTTATACAGCCCATGGTTCCCACCCATATATAAAGTATCATATAATATGATTAATAAATATCACTTTAAGAGCCAGTTTTACATGAGTAGAAGTTAATCATGTGTTCTTTAGAAAAGTTTATCTTTGCAAGCTGTCAACTATTTATTTCACAAAATTTTATGTTTTACAGTGATACAAGTTAAAGCTGCCAAATTTAGAAAACGCGTTGTGTGTTTGACTATTTTCCAGGAAGTTAAGGTTGTTCATATATATTTTATTCTGTTTTACTTTTGTAACAGTGAAGTCTCTACTGTATCTCAGCACTTTTTAGTTCACTCAAATTTTGAAGAAGAAAAAAATCCCAGTCAGATCTTAGACTGTTAAATGTGGTGTGCACACAAAATAGGTAGAACTGGCAACAGCTGTATAGCACATTTTAGAGAACATCCAGAATTAATAATAGTAAAGTGTATCATGCTCAATTGATATTTGATTAAGCCTGCTGAAAATGTTTATAGACTTCTCACCTTGCCAAAGTGGTAGATTGGGAAATGAAAAGTGATACAACTCAGTCATTCATTCTCATTCATGAAAGTTATAACTCAGGGTCTTGTTAAAAATTATACTGGGTGGGGCCACAAAGTCTGGGCAGAAACATAATGGCACAGCATATCTTTGCATTTCTATAGCTCATGAGTATGCAAAAGAAATATGTTCTAGATAAAACTACTATAAAGCAGGTGTATTAACTGGTTGGATTATTGTGTTCAAAGAATAGTCATCAGTGCCCAGCAACCCCTGTCAGGGGGCGCTCAATCTGCATGGGGGTGAGTGACAGAGGCAGCAGCAGGGCCTGCCAGACTCTGGCTGTGGTCCCCCAGTGAAGGGGGGGGGGAGGGAATCAGCCTCCTTCCTTCCCCCTTGACCTTAGGAAGCCATGTTGGCCAGTGTCTGGCCCTGTCCTCACCCCTGGTCCATCTAGAGAGCAGAGAGCACAGCCCAACTCAGGTCTGCAGAACATGCTGGGATGCTGGGAGATTCTGATTTATCTTAAATCAGGAAGGGGTCTGGGACAGAAGTGCTGTAAATGAGTTTAACCTCAATCAGTTAAATCTGATACTACATTCAACCAGGTTTATCTGAAATCAGTTTTGGGCATTTTGAAACTGGTTTATGTGCACAGAACTTCTGTTCTGTTACAGGTTTAAACCAGTTTCTGATCACTTAAACTGGCTTATGTGTAAATTCTGTCCCTAGCCCTGGAGTTTTTAAACCATCTTCATGGCTGCTCCCTCATTAGTTGGTATCAAATTCAGCTGACCCCAGTCTCCCAACCAGACAAACTATTATCTGCTAGTGGAGTCATGGGAGTCTTTTACTCTGTTCAGCACTGGTGAGACTTCATCTTCACCTGGAAGAAAGCTTTAGGCAAATTGGAGACAGTGTAGAGAATGAGTGGCAGGGCACCTTTGGATGCCTGCCATTCAAAGGACCTGAGTAGGCAGCAGAGGCAGCCTGCAGGTGGTGGCACTCCCCAGTCAGTAGTCACATGGGCATCAGGAGACTGCCTGATTGGGGAAGAGAGCTCAGCTGCTAGCCATAGCTGCAAGCTTGAGCAGGAAAGCCAGCAGCAGTTGTAGTAAGCTGCCAGAGGCAGAACATCGCCCGGCTGGAGCTGCTGCTCAGGAGCACCTGGAGGATGGGGAGAAACTATGGAGATAGCAGGAGGTTCCTGGTCCTGGGCATGACCTAAAGCTACACCCTGCTGGGGTTGAATGGTGTAGTGGGGCTGCTTCTGCGAGAGCAGCTTCCAGGAAATGCCACACCTGTGCCTCTCCAGTGAAGGGTATGTACGGGGCGCCAGAAAGCCTCAGCCCCAACTGCCTTGTGGGTTACCTTGTGGAGGGAAAAGGCTAGAGGAGCACACCACAACAGAAAGGCACACAGGCCCAAGCCCACTGAGTAGGGCCTGAGCCAGGGTTAAAGTAAGTCAACAGATGCCTGAGGCCCAAGGGGGTGTAGTGCCCCAAAGGGTCCAGGTATGTTGGGAGATGCCTGAGACCTATACAGCCATAGGCTGAGTTAGTGGGGCCTAGGTAAGTCATCAGACACCTGAGGCCCAGAGGTCCCAGCAAGGGGGAAGAGTACAGTTATAGGAAGCCAGTTGCACTGTAGAGTAGGCCCCGAAGACAGTCTGAAGGGCTGCACATAAGTCATCCAGAGTAGTGGCAGCCAGCAGCAGTGTAGAGTGGGGCCGAAAATGGTCTGAAGGGCTGCACAAGACACTGACTAAGGTAGCCACACCTGGCAGCAGTGTAGAGTAGCACCTGAAGATGGTCTCAATGGCTGCACAGAAGCTGACTGGTACAATTACAGTAGAGGGCCCCAGGGAGGGGCATGAGTTAAAGGCCCAGGCATGTCCAAAGATGCCTGAGGCCTAGTTTAGGCCAGAGGCCAGAGTGGCCCACCAAGTAGCCAGGGGTCTAGTGGAAAATTTGGATGCCATCTCTGAGGCATGGGATGTGGCATAAGGGGAGATATGAAGCCGTGTAGTTCACCCTTGGCATCAGGTTTTAAAATGGGCAGCCTCTTGCTTTCAAATAAACAGCTTATTGTTTACATGAAGGTGTGGCAGGAGAGTGTAAGCCTGCAGACTGCCCAGACAGGGAGGTGGGCTGGCCGTGTGCCTGGTCTTGCTAGTTACCCCGTTACAATAAGTCCTCAGCCTTTTTAGATTTGAGGCACCCCTCAATAGACTTGAGGTACCTCTCGCTTCACTAGGTCTGTAGGCTCCTGGAACAAAAGATTTTATCCCTGGAAAAATGCTGTCTGTTTATAACCATGAGGATAGGTCCAAAAAACTGGGGTTATTTGCTATAGAGAGGATTGACATGGGATTTGTTAAGTCTTCAAAGATAAAAAAGGTTGTTATAAAGAGTCTGGTGAGCAACAGGTCTCCCTGTCTACAGCAGACAAGATGAGATGTAATGGACTTAAATTGCAACAAGGGACACTTAGGTTAAATATGTGGAAGAACTTTCCAAGTATGAGAGCTGATGAGTACTGGAACAAATTACCTAGGGAGATTATGACACCTTTATGATTGGAAGTTTTTAAATACAGATTGAGCATGTGTTTATCTGGAATGGTTTAGATAGAGAAGATCTTGAAACACAGGTTTAGACTAAATGACCTCATGAGGGCACTGCCCAGCCCTATTTTACTATGATTCTCAGGTGCAAAGATTATCCATGCAAATTGGATAGATAAACACAACTGGCTAATTAGATATCTACTTACTTATTTGCTTTTGCACTTACCCAGTTAGCACATAAATACATGAATATTATTAATAATTTTTAGCACACGATACTTCAACATGAAGTCAGACTGTGTAAAAGAATTCTAAGGTAGTATACGTAGGGGATTTGACAATATATTTTTTCAAAGGCTGTACAAAAATGGGTGGGATACCAGAAATATAAACATACTGTCAATGTTAAAGATGTGCATTTAAATTTTAGAAGACGATTTTACGAATTAAGGCAACAGTTTAGTAAAACATCGGATTACATGCTTGAGCCCACTGCTGCTCAACCTATTGCCTTCAACTGGATTTAAGCGTTTGTTTTTCTGAATAGCAAAATACTCCTCCATTGACTTCTGTGTACCCTTTGGGTTGGAATACCTTGGACTGTATGTGAAATTTATGAAAATTCAGAGACCACTTGATTCTTCATCCTTATTATCTGCATGAAGTATCAGAGACACTACAGGTAGTCTCCTTTATGTGTACTACTTACAATTGTTTCCCCCATGAAATCCAAACAATTATAGTGCTTCTCTTGTTCTTAGTTTCACTTTATAGCAGCAGTAATGATCTTAGCATGTGGAATTTCCTGAGAATTAATGACCAGTTGGGGTTAATTGCCGGAGGTGCTGCTGAAGTGCTATCAACTCCTCCCTGCCAATCAGTAATCCTCAGGAAATGTCCTGTTCTTTGAAGTTATTGCTTTTAAAATAGAATAGGCCTTGTAGGCTTGTTCTGCACACACATTGCAGTGTTTAATATTAACACAAAAATACAGGAGATATAATAGTTATTCCAACCCCCCATATGATCAGAAATGTGTAAAACTTGTTTCTGTATTTAAAAGGCAATAATAGAAACATATTTTGCCAATTAAAAATAGTCCCGTCAACATAAATAGTGAACTTCCTTTTCTCTCCTTTTTTATAATCATGCTTCCTCTCAATATCCTTCTGCTGCTACTTCACTTCTTACTGATATTCATCAAGTATATTCTAACTGATGTTTTTCTTAGCTTTTCAACAATGTCCAAATATTACAGAATGTAATGTAAACACTGTTTACATTTTTTCTGAAATTCTCTAAGGAAGGGAGAATCCACTTTATGGCACTCAGTTATTGCCAAGTACCTATTCAATGCATTATAAAAGGGAAAATATGTGGCTGATGGCAATTTTTCTTTGAGTCCTTTTATTTTGATTTACTTAGGTTTATAAGATTGGCTCTAAAGAGAAAGAGAGAGAAGATATTCCTACAGAGAAATAATATCAAAGTTTGGTTCCAGTTATTTAGAGATGAAAGAGAGTTTGGTTATTAAATGCACAGTGTGGTCCTATAAAAGAAAATAAAGTCTGATAATGAATTGCTTCATTTACTTAAAGATGTTCATCTATTAAATTGAGATGTTCATTAGGTGACATTAAAGAAATACGGGTTAGATTATGTTCAACACCTTTAAATATCCTGTTGTTTGATCATTAAAAATTGAAAAATGTAGTTGGAAAAAAGTTTAACAGTAAAATGGCATATTATGCAGTAAAAGAAACACAGATAGTGAGCTCCATACATAAGACTGAGGTAGAATTTTCCCTTTCACAAGGTGAGATTTCATAGCAAACTCAAGATTTGGTTGATCAGTTTCAGGTGTTCAGATTCTCTAGGTGGCTTTGGAAATCTCTGCCTAATAACCTCACTGGTTGTAAAAACAGCCTCTTCCCTGAAAAAAAATATCAAAAGTCAAATGTATTCACTGGTGAGGAGGGAGACAATGGAGGTGGGGGGAGGGTGGTTGGGGATATCATTTTTTTTATAATCTTTGATTACCAGTAAGTCTTTCTAGCAGGAGATGATCAAAATGATGTTGTTTTGAAATTCTACCTGGGCTATCTCACCACATTTTGTTCTGTCCCTGAAACAAAAATATGCCGCCACCAAAATATGAATTCCCAAAGAGATGAATGTACTCTTTATTGGAAATATAGATTACGTTTTTTAATTTTTTAGAATTTTTAGAATTTTCCATACTTTCTCTGTAAAACCTGGTAAATTCCCTTCAACCAAAAATAAAAAACCGTCAAAATAAATCTGCCATTTCTCAATAGGAGCCACATAATGGAAGGGAGCATTCCCTTACTATTCAGCAATTAAATAAATAGTAGAATGGTCTAAGTTCTGGAGTATGAGTATTTATATGTTTGCATTAGCCACACAAATGTTTAATCCATTTTTAATTCTGCTAAACTTTTGATCTTAGTGGTTGAAGCAATGTGTTTCAGAGCTTATCTATTTACTCTTTAAAGATATGTTTTCTTTGATCAGTTTTAAATGAGTTGTTCCATCTGTTTTTGTGTACTGAGACCAGCGTAAACAAGACTGCTAAATTTACCTTCTCTGGTCTGTTCATTAGAAGACCATATCTCTCTCATTTTCTCCTTAAACTAAGCAGAATACAACTCTTCTGTCTTTTCTTATATTAAAGGCTTTCTGTGACCCTGATCATTTTTTTCACCCATCATTGAATCCCTTTTATTTCTACTGTATCACTTTTAAGAGCGAATGACCAGAAAATCAAGTGGTGAGGTGAAGCACAAGGCGAGTAAAACCATCACGGTTATCATAAGCAGCAGTTTGAATGCATACAAACTGCTAACTAATGTCAAGTGCTTCATATCCCCCTGTATACCTTACAAGTTATAGCTGCTTAAGTGGCACCTCTTTTGTTCAGGAAGAAGGTTCCATTCCATCTCTACCACCCTGATCCAAGTGCATCTCCCCACTCTATAGCTTGTTCATTTTGGTTGTGAGCAGAGGAGAGTGTGTGGCATTATTGTCTTGCCACTAAAAAGGACTTAATTTAAATAGTGGAATCATTCAGCATAAAAGGCCAAAGTTTGAAACTTATAAAATCACTGGATATATTTAGTACAGGGATATTTTCCAGCATTCATGCATTTATTTTATAGTCTTAGTATTTATCATGTAGTCCTGCAGTGGCACATGTTAGTGATGGCTAATGCAGTTGTATTGCTGCCAGTCACTGGTCCTAGTGCCATTGTTTCCCATAGAAACAAAACATAACAGCATAAATAGGAATGGGAGAGAAGCTGATCATCACAAATGACTCATAGTAACTTACAATTTTAAAAAAGAAATTTGTGGGCAAAAACTAGCTGTTGTGAGGTTATTTCACATCATTCTTTTGCCAAGCATGCAATTTCAGTAGGCAGGAATATGTAGGACATCTTTTTACTTCACGTGACTATTTAAGGAACTGATTCCTTCAAGAATTACAGGATGGAGAAATGTAAAATTTTTGTATCAACAATGATGTAAAATAATATAACCTCAGCTCCTTGAAGCATATCTTATTTGACCTCATGAATGCTTATGGGGAATGATCACACCAAAAGGAAAGTCAGCCAAATAAAAGTTATTTTTGGCTTATAACATCGAATTATGCCTATTTACAAAAGTCACAGTGAAAAAAATCCAGAAATATAATGCATACATTTATCCTGTTAGGGACAAAAATAGTATTTCCATGTTTTTAGTTAGAAAGCAGTGCTATCTGATGTTTAGACGAAAAGATTTAGAGCCTGAAGATTCCGAATTGTAATTTATACAGGTTTAGAGAAATTCCCTGTGATTTTTGAGGCATGTCATTTAAACTTCTTGTTCCTTAGGTCCTATATGTTCCCTAAAAAATTAATATACTGGAAACAAAGATCTATTGTATAGACAAAACTAAAGTATTTTAATCAAGTTGACCTTTAGTCTCTGTGGTAAGGCCAATAAAACATTCCCCTAAAAGTTAGAAGCATCCAAATAATGGTTAATCCATAGGTTTTGTCATGCATTTTGCAAGAAAGTGTTACTGTTGAAGTTGTTTATATAGCTTATAAATGAAAAATAGCATTGAAAATTGGGTCTACCAACCCATAAAATTCTACTTGAGAAATTATAAGCGGGAAAAGACAATAGGAATACTGTGCCAGTAATACCTTTTACATTGTTTTCTGATATTTCTACAGCTCTTCGAGATGCCAGCAAGCAGTCAATTAACAGTGACTGGAAGATAGAGCATTCAGGAACTTTCAATATTGCTGGGACTACTGTTCATTATGTTCGGAGAGGTCTCTGGGAGAAAATCTCTGCCAAAGGCCCCACAACATCACCTTTGCACTTACTGGTATGACACAGTGGATCTCAGGGGGTTTTTTTACATGATTTGTATATAATAAAGTTCAGCTATTAAGTAGTTGTTATATGTTTATGGAGTTCCTTATAATTTAATTAACTTGACAGTTTTTCCAAATGTAAAATCGTCAGATTTAAAGATGAAATCTTTTGTGAGGCAAACACGATGCAACAAGAGATTTCGCTTTGTAGTCAGACTGTGTGTATAATATTGCAACTAAAAAGTTATTAACACAATTGGGAACAAATCATTAAAAGGATAGAAGATCGGGTTTGGGGCACTCTTAATTATTAATATATAGTTGGGTTTACATACCAGTTCTGAGTAGTAGTGATTGAAGATTATTCCCATGAAGTACCCACACAGTGGCCTATATGAAATTTGTTTGGGATAACTATTTCTTGCCCCCTTTGAGGGATGGGGGGATATGCAGAATTTTGGAAGAGAAAGAAAAAGTTGGTTGTGGGGGCCACGGGATGGATTTGAGAAATGGCAAATTGTGTTGATAGAAGTGAAAGGGAGAGCCCAACTAGTGAGTGAATGTGGTAGCGGTAGTGGGAAGATGGTATTTTTTATGATGGTATTTTTTATGGTAGTGGTAGTGGGAAAATGGAGTATTTTTTATGAAGAGATCTGAAATCATAAATTTCTATTTTATCACTTGTATTAGTTAATATCAGACCTTTGCTGATAATATTCACAAGCTATGGAACATAGATTGACAAAATGTTTGTATTTAACCATGAGGCACAACTACCTTGTAATCCATCTTTATTTCTAAAGAAAGGGGGTAGGAGGCATTTTTTTCTCAAATGAGTCAGAAGAAACTAAAGTCTTGTTCTGTTCTAAGTTATTTTTTTATCATGGCTATTGCAGAATAATTCTTCTGTCATCTTTAACATGCACAACTTCTCTCCCATGCAAAGCAGCCATATCTTCATTTTTGGCAGACCATTGGGCAGAATTTAAATAGCTTGTAAATCCTAACACCTTCACACTAACTAAAAATATTGTGCATTCAACATTGTGCTGTTAGTGCATTCAACTGTGTGCTGCTAGTGAAAATCTTTATAGTAAAAAGGAAACCCATTTGGAATAAATGGTCTCTGATTATTTACAATGAGTAATGAATTAATAGTTCTGTTGCTGCCATAGGTCAGTTTCTAAATTAATATATCCATCTTTCCTTCCTCTGCTTAGGAAGGCAAACTCAGCTTTTGCTCATGACCTGATAAGTCTAGTGCCCCCCTTATTTTCTTATTAAATATTTCATGAGGTCAGGAAGCCCCTTCCCTCATACAGTCCTTTCCAGATCTACTATCCCAACAGCAGCAAAAAGCCTATAACCAAGACAGCCTATACTTGTTTCTGGTAATACCAGAATACAGCTTTTTGTAAGATATTGGAAAGTGCACACAAGCATTCCTCCTTCCGTACTTTTCTGATATTTAACTTCCCAGATTGGAATTTATCTTCACCAGTGTCTGTGCATGAATATTTACTTTGTGGATCTTTCAGGTGCTGCTTTTTCATGACCAGAACTATGGTCTACACTATGAATACACTATCCCCCTAGATCCCCTTCCTGAGAATCAGAGCTCTAAAGTGTCTGAACCCCTGTTTATGTGGACACATTCTAGTTGGGAGGACTGTGATGCTGTGTGTGGAGGAGGTAAGTTATTTTTTGAAGCAGTAGCATCTATTTTTTGGATAAATGTTAATAAATTAAATGCCATTATAATGTTTTAATAGTATTAACTGTAGTATAGCTTATACAGTAGGCACAGAAAGAATTCAGTGTTTTGCTTTTAGATTTACTTGAAGGAATCATGATGATATTCATAGGACAATTTTATATTTAGATGGAGTAAGTCAAAAAGGACAGTAGGAAAAAGAAGTCCAGTAAGCAGGCTGATTTACATAGTTGCATAAAAGAAATGGTTTGTGTGTTTTTGGGTGGGTGTGCGCACACATTCATTATGGGGCATACAAATGTGTTTACATGTTCCACAACATATTTGAAACGAATTATAAATTAACAGGAAATTCTGTTCCCAGGTATCCTAATAGCACTGACAAAAATCAAATAATCATGGGCTTCTGTCAGATCTCACTCACATTGGCCTACTCATCTATTTGGTTAGTTGTTGCTTAACCAATTTCCTAAAGATTGCTCTACATTTAGTATTGTGCACTCCACACTGCATTCTGTGCAGTTATAAATCATCACATCTCTTTTAGCTTTCTTTAAAGGTTCCTGGCATCTTTTGTTTCTGGAACTTTATTTCTATAACATAGAAACCACATTTCACATTATTCTAAGCCTGTGTGTGAATTCAGTATGTGATATTTTTCACAAAACACTTACCATATTTTCGCGCACAATAGCCCACACCCACGTATAACCTGTGGAAAATTGTATTTTTGTAAAATAGTCCGTGTATTCCCCGCACCCATGTATTCCCCATACCCCGAGACATGGCCACAAGCGAGGGCTCTGCTGGGCTTGTGGGCTCTGCAGGGGAGGGGAGGGGAGGGATGGGGAGCTGTGAGCCCCCCTCCCCACTGCTGCCACCAGCCGCACTCTGCTGGGCATGGCCACCGGAGCTGGAGCCCACAGCCGGGGACGGGCTTGCAGGCTCTGCACGGGAGGGGAGAGATGAGGAGCTGTGAGCCCTGCTCCACGCTGCTGCCGTCAGTCGCACTCTCACCACCCGCCTGCAGCCCCCCACCCCAAGACATGCCCGCAAGCGCGGGCTCTGCTGGGCACGACCGCCAGAGCTGGAGCTGGAGCCCGCAGGCAGGGATGGGTTATGCTGTTCTAAAGACTCTGTATAGCCCACACCCATCCGTCAAGTTTGTAAAAACATGTATAGCCCACGGACTATATGCACGAAAATACAGTACTTCTCTGAAAAGGGGGGTTGTAAATGTTCATATAAGAAACTAAATTATAAAATTATATGAGTTTCTCTTACAGGATTTTTTTTCACTTCCCTCCTCCAAAGGATATACGATTTAATAGTTTTATTAGATAAAATTACCAGAGACTACATATATAACCGTCATGCAAGCTTATGTACTTAACATTTTATGATTTAGCTTTGCTTTATTTTTTATTAGGAGAAAGAAAGACAACTGTATCTTGCACAAAGATTTTGAATAAGAATATCAGTCTTGTGGACAACAAGAAATGCAAATATTTAACGAAGCCTGAACCACAGATCCGAAAGTGTAATGAGCAGCCATGCCAGACAAGGTGATAGAGTTTCAGTTAAATAAAGCTATAATTGATATTAAGTTTCAAATACCATGATAGTTCCAGTCAAATATGACTGAATATCACAAGACATAATGCATCAAATGTATTATTGTAGTGTAAAATGGAGAAAAATCATAGATACTAACAAGTCCCTGCCAGCAATGCACTTAGGCTGCATATAAACTTTCAATCCTAGCAGTGTAAACTTTCCACCTCTAGAAATGATTCCAGAAGAGGGACCAGTATAGACATTCAGTCTGCAACTGTTCTTTCCCCTGCTACTTCTGCCTTCCTGAGACTAGGGTGATCCCAGTTTGGGGAAAACATGGCCTCATTCCATCCTGTCATTCCCAGGGGGCCTGGAGGAGCAGGGGAAAGCCCCCTGCCTGTTTCTCATACTGACTGGTTGCTTCTCACTCTAGGGATGAGTGAAAAGCAGGCAAGGAGCACCTGTCAGCTGCTCCTCCCTTCACCTGGTCTGTGAAAGAGGTGGAAGCTCTGCCATGTGCTGCTCCTGCCACTGATTGATGGAGGGGCCCTGGTGGCCTCGCTGCTCATCATTGATTAGTTGGAAGGCAGAAACCATGTTATAGTTAAAACTGTGATTTTTGCCTTCCAGTCAATCAGGAGCAAGTAGCAGGGCTGCCAGAGCCCCTTGGTCAATCAGTGGGTGGCGGGGGGCACAGCAAATAGAACAAGGTTAAGGGAGCTGCTGCTTAACATACTTCTGCCACAATTTAGGTGGGTCCCTACTTATTACTAGTGGTGGCCACACACAAAGGAGGTGTAGGAGCTGACTTATTTTCTGTGTATGATGGGGAGCAATGTGGCTCTGCCCTACTATAACAGCAGTGCCATATTTCAGTGATTACTGTTCTTGTGTTTTGAATTGCTGATGAAGTTACATATATTGTGTATGCTTGAAGGGAGTCTCTGGATGTTAATGAAGAAGTTGCACACAAGAGAATTGTTGCTATACTTCAGAGAAGGGAAGTCTGCATGTTGTGATATAGGCCTCACACAAACTAAAAGTCTATTAACCTCAATGGGCATTCAGAAAACATCAAACCTGCAAAATAAGTATCAAAATTATAGCAGTGATAGGGTGAATATTTTTATGTACAGCAAAGCAAAAAGTAAAACAAATTATGTAATACTAGTAAAGTACTTTGATGTATCATGCATAGTGATTGAACATAAAAAATGCTTAGAAAGAATGAAGACTTGAAAAGACAAGATTTGTAAACTGAAAATTATTAATATATTTTATGTTTGACAAGATCACTGTTGTCATATCTCCTGAGAATTGACTGGATCAATTTTATTTCAGTTCATATAGAGAGGATCTGTTTTTGTGGGGGTTTTTTCTTTTTACATGGCAAAATAGTACCTGAGGGAGACATATAGGACTAGTCTTCTCCTGAATAACATGCAAACAATCATTTCTAAATGTGTTGCTATGCCCTTACTCACAATGAAGGTACCACCTACAGTTACAAAGGATAAACACACACACCAAACAAATTGCATAGTTGCTACTGAAGATGCCATTTGGAGTAGCATGCCATTTAGGATGCACGTCAGAGTCTGTCAGGGGAAAATATTATTTCTAGGGCTGCCAAACAATTAAAAAAATTTACTTTAATTAACTGCATGATTAAAAAAATTAGTCGCAATTAATTGTGATTTTAGTTGCACAGCTAACAACTCAAAATTGTGCACAGAAAAATGCAAAATTATGCAAAATTATACAAGTATTTTGTATGGATGTGGGATGTGTGGGGGGAATTTGTGAAGGTGTTGGGGGCTGTGGGTGTGTGTGTGGGGTTTGGAACCTGTGGAGGGGGGTCCTCACACACCCTGGCAGGATGTGAGGTACTGTGGGTCAGGAGTGCTGGGCAGCAGCAGGGCCAGGGGGGCTGTGGTTTGGGATTGAGGGGCAGATACAGATGCAGAGATGCACACAGACAGCACCCAACAGGTAAGTCTGTGGAGGGGAAGGGGTGGAGGGAGAGGGAAGAGGTGATGGGGGCAAATCGAGGCCCTCACAGTGAGGGAGGGAGTGAGGCAGGGGCAGGGACTGGGGTGAATGGGGCCCTGGGGTGGAGCTGGTTGTGGGACAGAGGCATGGGCAGCTCATCCAGGGGCTCCAGGGTGGGGGGTTGCAGCTCCCTGCCACTGTGTGCACCCCTGGGAGAGACATTTATCTCCTGGATTTGTGAATGGGGCAGAGGCAGGCTACCTGCTGTAGGCTGGAGCTCTATGCCCTGCTGACTTTGCCCTGGGACCCATGGGATGCCATGTTGTGGGTGGGTGGGCAGTGGATGCGAAATGGCCAGCACACAGCTCCCAAGGCAAAGGCAGGAGGGTGCAGTTATGCTTCATGGCTAAATACAAACATTTTGTCAACCTATGTTCCATAGCTTATGAATATCATCAAAAAAGGTCTGATATTAAACAATACAAGAGATAAAATAGAAATTTACAACTTCAGATCTCTTCATGAAAAAGGTCAAGGGAACGCTAATCACAAAATAGTTTCAAGACATGGAAAAGAAAGAACACATGAGATTTTAATTTAATGTTGGATCTAGTTATCTCCCCAAATTCTTGTTGAGCCTGCAGTGGGCAGCCTGCCTCTGCCCCACACACATATTTGGGGGGCATGTGCCGCCTATGCCTCCCCAGGGGTGTGCGCAGTGGCAGGGAGCTGCCCCCACCATGCCTCTGGATGAGCTGCCCAGGGCTCCATCCCATGACCCGCCCTGGGGCCCCATTCAGCACTGCCTCTCTCCCTCACTGTGGGGGCCTCAATCTGCCCTCCCCCGCCTCTCCCTCTCCACAGACTTACTGGTGTGGTGCTCCTCTATATGCAGTATGAAGGCTGCGGCTGCTCCTGTGTGTCTATGTGCGCGCCGCTCTTCCCCCTCCCCCACTTCTGCTGCAACTGCCCAGAGCCTGTGCCTGGGCTGTCGTATGGTCCTCTGTGCTGCCGCCACTGCCTCACTGGGTGATCCGGAGGTGGCGGAGCGGAGCCTGGGCATGGGCGTGGGCTCTAAAACCATGTGAATGATTAACACGTTAAAAAAATGTATGCAAAAACTGATTAATGTGTTAATTGTGAGTGTTAACTGCAATTAATTGACAGCCCTAATTATTTCCTTTCAAAAGTAATATGCCTATGTGTGTTTGGGAAATTCTCTGAGTATAAAGTTGCATTGGTAAGTATTTATTGCCGACAACAGAAGAAACAGCCCGAACAGTTTTTGAATACCTATTCATACCTTCTTAACAAGTTCCCATTTTCAAATTGAGTCTTTTGAACAAATAATAAAAAATACATATCTTCAAATGCGATGCCTGCTCAAATTTTTCAGAACATTGGAACATGCACTGTACATTTCTGTTTTCAACATACTGTCAGTTACAGCTCCACACTCTTGGGATGCAGCTGTACATTGCACCACACGCCAGAAGTGTTTGAGTTTTAAGGACTGCAAGAATATCAGCCTTGGAACATTCTAGAAAGATTACATACCAGCAGCTATAGCTCTCCAAATATTTTGGCTCCGCAGATCCACGCTGACCTTTTCTTACTCCCAGAAGTTGTGATTTAAACTAGGTGTCCTGAGTAAAGTTGATGTGAAGGACACATACGGGGAAAGGATTCTGAGGCACATGTTTGGACTTCCATAACAGCTCATTCAAAGGGCATGTAATTCCTTCAGTGTGGATCTGCAAAGGAAAATATTCAGGGAACAATAGTTACTGGTAAGTAATTTTAAAAAGAAAAGCATTTGGCGGTACATTTGGGTACTGTTCTGATTATGATTATAAGGAAGGAGAAAGGAAATGAAAGAATTATATAAAGGATTCTGAATAATTAAGAATAATGGGGCGCCATTGGGAAAAGAAGTAGTAGTCTAAACATCAGATTGTATTTCTTATATGTGTGTTGGACTGGCAGCCTTTTAGGAATAGTGATGTGCCCCTGGGGGAACAATTCTTTTAACATGGAAGCAACCTAAGTCCTATTATTCACCTGTTTTATACTTCTTTTTAGATGGATGATGACAGAATGGACTCCATGTTCAAGAACATGTGGAAAAGGGACCCAGAATAGACAAGTAGCCTGTACACAGCAACTCAGGAATGGTACCTTGATTAGAGCTCGGGAAAGAGATTGTCTTGGGCCAAAGCCTGCATCTGCCCAGCGCTGTGAAGGCCAGGATTGCATGACAGTTTGGGAAGCTGGAGTGTGGTCTGAGGTGCAGTATGTGCAATATTCACTGTTTATTGTTTGCATCTGGGCATTTTCTGGGAACAGTGTTGGAATTCATGGATACAATACAGAAAACTCTTGTCCAAGATTTATCTGTAATTTTTACCACTGAAAACTCACTTTAACTGCTTTGGAATAATTGATGGATCCTGAACCATTAAGTGGTGCATCTCAGATTAAAGGTTTTACAGCTCTTTAGACTGCTGTTCTGGTGCCATTGCTATTAGGCAGGAATGAGTAATAACAGCCTCTGTATACAGTTAACCTCTTTTACTCCATTGCTGCTCTGAAATATTTCACCAGGTCATGGCATGCTGTAACAAAGAGCTCTGGGCTTTCTGTTTCTTTAAGAAGAAAAGCAGCCCAACCAGGGAGCTCTGCAGGCTAGGCAGGGGGCAGCAGCTGCTAGTTGCTGGGGCAATTGCTAATGAGGCAATTAGCAGCCAGTCCAGGCAGTCACCTGACCAGATGTAGGCAGGGCCCTGGGAGCATATAAGTCTAAGGCCAGGGCTGGCGGGGGGGGGGGC